GTGTTTGGAATTTACGGCAATGAACGGAGAATAATCTAGCGATTCCGAAGACGATGCCAGATTTAGCTCCATTGGAGAAAGGCGAAGGTGCAGCTGAACAACAATGCATATGGATGACGGATTCTGAGGGCCTACCGAATGGTGTTCGAGGCGGCCACTTGGATTTTTCCGCGAACTATTGAGGTTACTGATTCTGCTAAGAAAGTGTTCAACGAATTATCTGAGAGAGGAGAAACGAGAGCAATAGCGCTTCTAACTTCGATTACTTGTTATGCCAACAATAACCAACACACTCTTCTCTGTTCTGAACATATTGAATAATCTGAGCAGAAGAGTCATTGTTACGGATGAGGTTCTTCTACTAGAATCTGCTTTGTTGAGTCTTCAAATTGCTGGAGACGTGCTCTTGCACATACCAGAAGTATTAAGGCATATATGAAATTTGTATATCGAAACCAGCTGATGACTCCGTATTGGTTTGTTTCACAGATATAAAGTCTCCTCCATTGGTAGTGGAGGACCAAGTCCAGGAAGGTCATTGTGTGAATAGAAAGCTTTGTGCATAATGAGTCTACACATAATAAATCTTATATCTCTACTCAGTTAAATACATAAAGTTCCCAATTCTATACCCTCAAGAGTCCTCAAAAGAAATTTAAGCAAAAAAAAAAGGACAAATAATTTATATAACTGGACGAACAGTTGGTACCGTGAAATATATCTATTAATCTTCAGAAAATGAGTTAACCTAATGATAATAACAAACATACGATCTACGAAATTGAGAGATCATGGATATTACTTGGACTTAGCCTTTAGTCAGTTGGACCAGATACAAGGGTAAAGGTCTTCGATGGCAACGATGGGCTTTCCTTTTCTTGGAGTCTTGTTTTCACGTTCAACACAAGTCGAACTGGACTTTCCACTTTTGACTTCTTTAGCCGACCGCACTAACGGGGAAATATAATTTTGTGCGCCCCTCCCTCGTATTCTTGGCCGACTTCAACTACGGAAAATCAAATTTCCATATATTCATTTTCGAACTTTCACGTACTGAGTAATTCAATTCGGGTCATTCATTCAACGGGCTCAAAATCGAGATATATTTTAACAAATACACCACAACTAGACCCTAGTTTAATGTATCTTATATTGACGAAGTAGTCTTAATTTAGAGCCTAGTGAGATATAAAGATGCTGCTCCGGAGACCGAATAAGTACTCCAAGAACCATAGGTCCATAGCAAGTCAAAATTAATGGGCGCTTTGAACCTTAACAAAAAATTCATAATGACTAAATACACAGAAAATGACGTCAGTGGGTTCTTCAATTTACGAATGTCATAGGGCTCTCACCTAGCTTTAGAGATTGTATTTGTAGGATTAACTCCACTTTTAACCTATAGACATTTATTTTATTTTATTTGTTTTGCTGTCTCAAGAGATAAATGCTTCGTAGTGGTACTGATAATGCCAAGAAAAAGTTATTATGGATGTATCATGTCCTCTCAAACCCCTATATGCCAAAACCACCTCATTTTGTAAAATGACACAATTGCCCTTAATTATTTAACTAAAATTTAAAATGGTGGACCATAAACTTATTAACTTTCCTTCTCTCTTTTTTTTTTTCTAGTTCTACATAGGATCTAGTCGTCCTCAATTCATGTTTTCTTTTTTCTAAAAATTTTAAGTGGAATTACCATGCATATTAAATGCACTATTTTCTCTATTTGAATTTTACCATTGTACGTACTAGCTTTCTCGAAGAGAGAATTTTCTGAAAAATCTAATTCTTTTTCTAGTAGTCAAGCAAATTTATGGATTAATTGTCAAGAAAAATTCTAAAAATAATTGAACATCAACAACTTTTAAAACAATCAAATATTTATAAATAGTTTATTTTTATTGCGCATTTCACCGCTTTCTTGTAAGTTATCTTTTATATTCACATAATAAGCCGATTGAATGAAATAAAAAGAAACTCTCTTAAAGAATTGTCATAATAAAATCACTATTACATTCCCTAATGTGGATAAAAGATAAAAATTAATTAAAGGACAACTTTGCAAAAATAAATTAAAATGACGGTTATATTTAATTCGTTTTGAATTGACAAAAAGAAGAACAACAACAAGAAGAAAACAGAGCAGGAAGTAAATTCGCAGCCTCTATCTTTCAGCCAAATAAAAAAGTCCCAACACCTAGCCCAGCTTCTCAATTTTGATCATTCAAAAAAAAAAAAAAATACGTGAAGCAGACTGCAGTGAAAGCACTCAAAGGCAATAATATCATTTTTCTTTTTCTTTTTTTCCTGAAAATTGGAGGAAATACGTGGAATTACGTTTGTAGCCCGGAAAGAGCTTTATTAGTTACTTCGCGCCTTACAAAAAAATCGAACCAACCTAGAATTAACGTGAAGTTTTTTTTTTTTTTTGGTAAGGAATTAACTTGAAGTCTTTGTTTTTTTGATGACTCGGGAACCGCCGTACAGCCGACAGCCGGCAACGTAAACCTGGGGTGACGCTAGCGCAGGACCCACCACCACGGCGCCATATTTAAGAATCCCTAACGACTACGCTGGGATTCGAACTCCCCACCCTTCGTGAGGGCAGAGAGCGCGAACCAACACAGCCGCTGTGGGCGGTGGTATTAACTTGAAGTCTTTCATCTTCAGTTTAGCTAAAAAAATTTATCTCATTGGTCGAGCTCAACGAAGCTCTTCGTGGTCATGGCCGCAAGCTCAATGAAGCTTTCACGGCCATGGTGAAGCTTGATTGGCCATGACTGCGAGCTTGAAAAAACCTTGAAAGCCGGAGTGCCCATGGTCGAGCTTGACAAAACTTGAGCAAGCTATGGCCCATGGCCATGGCTGCAAGCTCAACGAAACTCCAATGGCCATGGTCGCCAACTTGAAGAAGCCTAGAAGCTGAAGCGACAAGCTCGAAAAAAACTCAAGTAGCCATGGCCGAAAGCTTGAAGAAGCCTGAGAGTTGGTAGTTATGGCCGAGCTCCACGAAACTCGAGCGACAAGGTTTTGCCTTTTTTGCCCCCTTAAATTCTTATTTTTTTATTTTTTAAATTTTTATCATTTTTCCTTTTATCCTATTTTAATTTTTTTTTAAATCTTGCTATCCTTTTTTCTATTAAATTTTCAATTTTTTTAATGTAACGCTTGGTGGAAGCCATATTGACGCCGTTTGTCTTAAAAAAGTAATAGAACAAAGGTCACGTCCGCATTTTCCGTTAGTTAAATTAGATAGAGTTAATTGAAGGATTTGATTGCACAAATTTAACAAATTTTAAGATTTAATTGTGTATTTTGAAAGTTTAGGGACTCGATTGCACTTTCTAGTGCACTTAGTCCTATTTGTAGATTAGATTTCCAAATACTTTTGCACATGGACCTGGAACATATAAAACTAATAAATCAAGTGATTCGATATAGGATCCACGCAATGTAACGGATCACATCCATTAAGCGCATGTCTATACGATAAACTAAACAAATTTTCACATACATTCCTGCAGTCCATCGTTATCATTGAACATTCAATTTCCACGAAAAACTTGATTGATTTTATGTCACGGTGATTGAATCAGCTGTGGTGCCTGCCTTCTTATCTTTCACTATTGTGTCTTTAATTCGCAATTAACTTGAAAAAGGGTTTGTATACTTTTCCTTGGAAAATTTCTGGGTCATGACAAGCTTTAATAACCGCGTGAGAGGATAAGATGTGTCTCATCTTTGACTTGAAGAGGTCCCCAGCGGAAAATTAAAGTGTCCTCCATTTGTACTGAACATTTGAACGTGGAAGTCGTTTAAATCTGCCTTAAAAAAGTAATAGAACAAAGGTCACGTCCACATTTTTCATTAGTTAAATTAAATATAATTAATTGAAGGATTTGATTGCACAAATTTAACAAATTTAAAATTTAATTATATATTTTAAAAGTTTAGGGACTCAATTGCACTTTCTAGTGCACTTATTCCTATTTATAGATTAGATTTCCAAATACTTTTGCACATGGACCTGGAACATATAAAATCAATGCCTTCTGATTAATAAATCAAGTGATTCAATATAGGACCCACACAATGTAACGGATCACATCCATCAAGCGCATGTCCACACAATAAACAAAATAAATTTCCACATACGTTCCTACGGTCCATCGTTATCATTGAACATTCAATTTCCACGAAAAACTTGATTGGTTTTATGTCACGGTGATTGAATCAGCTGTGGTGCCTGCCTTCTTCTCTATCATTTTCATGTCCTCAATTGTCAACTAACTTAAAGAATGGTTTGCATACTTTTCCATGGAAAATTTCTGGGTCATGACAAGCTTTAATGACCGCGTGGGAGGATAAGATGTCTCGCATCTTTGACTTGAAGATGTCCCCAGCAGAAAATTAAGGGTCCTCCATCTGTACTGAACATGTGCGTGGGGACTTGGAACGTTTCGATGTTGGAGGGAAGTGGAAGCTCAAGTGGAAGTTGTTTAAATCTGCCTTAAACAACCCGAATGGGTCTGCTTCTGTTGTGGATTCTTATAACACTAACAAGATATCCGTGCATCGTAAGAGCTTAAGACTATGTTTTTAATATTATTCTAAATTATTGACAGTTAATTAATTTTGCATTCATTGATACTTCAAGTTAAATATAAGATATATTGAACGTTGATCATTATTGTTTTGATCACATTATCAAATTGAACGAAGTTGTCTTATTTTTTCTTCAATGAGTCCAAACAAATACCAGTTTATGTGATATCTCTTGGCAAAACAACACTTATACTAAAAATTAATAACATTAATTTTTTGTTATTTATCTCTCGTTTTTTTAGAAATGATACTTGGGGAACGCATATTTCCTTCACAACTTTGGTGAAATCACTAGTGGCTTATTTTTTGTCGATCTGCTTATAATCATTTTTTAAATCAATTTATAACATTCATCTTATAATTTTCATCTCTCTTTTGGAGAAGTTCTGGGTAAAGTCAACGGCGATAATTACGTGTTCCGTGGAATTGGCCGCAGTAGACTTTGAGTTTGCCGATGGTTTTTTTGGTGCAGTTGGCCCAACCGTAATAATCACTCAAAAGGGAAAGACTCCGCATGTATAAATGAAGTAGATGACCCTCGCAAGTTTGCACATGGTGAAGCAGAAGAAACAGATAAACGCACAAAACACCATTATAAACATGAAGTGTCTGTTATTGTGTATGTGGACTTGGGTGCTGTTGGTATTGATGGGAAGTGGAAGAAGCATGGGGTGCTTGGAAGAAGAGAGGAATGCACTGCTCATGATTAAGGCCGCCTTCACCCACCCGAATGGGTCTTCTCTTCCGTCGTGGCGCGATGGCAATGGTGACTGTTGCGGCTGGGAACGCGTGGAGTGCGATAACACCACTTCGCGAGTGACTGGACTATATTTGAACGAAACACGCTGGGGGGAATTTGGGGATCACTATTGGGAATTGCCTAGGCTGGTTATTGACGCGTCTTTATTCCTTCCCCTGGAGGAACTTCACGTGTTGGATTTAAGTGCTAATTTTCTCTCAGGTGAATATCTCTCTCTCTCGGTTATTTGTTCCTTTTGTCTTTTTTCAATTATGTCTCTATGTAATCGTTTACTTACCGTTTCTGAATAATTAAAAATGTCATAGGTGGGTGCTCCAAACAACAAAGTGGATTAAGTGAATTAATGACAAACACATGATTGCACAAATGATGCAATTCTTAAAGTAGTAGATTGCACATGTCATAAAATAATTAGGAGACTCATCTCCACAATCAGGATAGGTACGAAGAGCGAAAATAGAAACAGCTTAGTAGGCAATGATTTACTAAATGCTGACTTTTCTACCATCATAAAGAGTTTGACTTGTTTGCATTTTGCACCCCAACAAAGTTGACTTGGAGGGCACTTGTTTGGAAGTGGACTAAAATCTACTTAAAACTTTTATTTGTGACTTTCTCTCAAGATTCAATATAAGTAAAAAGAAAATCAAGTTCCATCAGATTATCAAAGAACTATATATAATTCTACGTATTAATATTTACATGTTTGGAAATGTTTTGAGCGTTTCCTGATAATTAAAAGTCAAATTGCGAGAGTGATAAGGTTTGCAAAAAATAAAAAATAAAAAATCAGGAAAAGTAGATTGATAGAGGGGATTAATTTAGAGCGAAGGGAAAGGATCTTAAAGGTAGTGTAGTGTTTGGATAGAGGGAAAGAAAGGGACAGGAAAAGAAAGAGTAGAAGCTATGAGGAGGAATTATGTATAGTCATGTGTCTTTTAAATCCCCCATATAAAGGGTTTTGGAGGGACTAAGGGGGACCAATACTTTCATCAAACATCATTTTTCTTTCCCACATATACCTTTGATGCATTTCAAATTGTAAATACATAATTAATTATATATAAGTACAATAAAGTGATAATGCATCTTTATTTTTCTTTTCTCTCTAGATCATTCCTTTTTCTAGTATCCAAACAATAAAATAAGGGTACATTTTCTCAGGTCTACTAGTGTTAGTTAACTACATATGATGGACATTTAAGTTACTTGTTTATTCAATTAGTTTACAAATTCATGTGACAGAAACCTTTTTTATGCTCGAATATGTCGAACCAGCTGGTTTCTGCTTATAAACCAATTCTCCTCATCATGAGCATATAGTTATTATCGATAAATTTAAGGTAGTTAGACATATGATATCTATAGAGAATTAATTAACTATCGGATATGCATGAGTCTTTTCTTAACCAGATTTAAATGGAACGCTACACTTGAGGAAATTGAAGAGGCTAGATCTATCTGAAAATTATCTACAACGAGTCCCCTCATTGTACAAGCAAACTTCAATGGAGGCCCAAAATTTTTCTTCCAACCAGCTTGAAGGTACATGTAAAATAGAAGATCGTGCCTTGATATATAAAGTTCGATTTTGAGAACCTTTTGTCAATCACAGGTGTGAATCTGGAGACTCTAGATCTTTCTAGTAACGATTTGGTGAATGATGCCCTCGCGGACATTGCGAGGATAACATCTCTTAAGGCCTTAGACATAAGTTATTGTGGACTGAATGCTTCAAAGTTATTGGAAGGTACTTCTCTGAAAATGATTTCATTTATCACCTTCTTAGGAGAAAATAAGATAAGATTGTCTTGAACATAGAAGGCATGACTGCATTATATTCGACGTCCTTTGGATCATATTTTGGCCGCACATTTTCTTCAAATAACTTAGCGCCAACAACTTGCATCTAAGTAAATGATATCATATAGTTGTTTGTCTTATGCTTGAAGTGGGAAGGATTTAGTTAAATGTCTATGGAAGCCATAAATAAACCCATGTCATGCTCAATGTCTTTATTGTGGGATCATGATGTCGGTGATCCTAAGAATTTTGGTCATTTTCAATTTAATCCCTGATCTTTAAATATTGATGTTTAGGCTCCATGCTTTTACATTTGTGAATCTTTTTTATTAGCCAATCTGAAAAATAGTGTGATAACATAATAGATGTAAGGAGTTATTGCTTAGAAGATAAAAATAGTCAAAATAACAATATACTAGAGGGGTTCAAATATTGTGCTGGAATCATAATAAAATTAAATGCAAAAGTTAATCGGGAATCAAAATCCAAAAAATCCTTACAGTTTACATATTAAACCACAGTGATGGTCAAACTTCAGGGATTGCAAGTGTTAATAAATTCAACTAGGCCATGAAAATTATATAAGAAACTGAAAATTCGTATCAGTAAACTAAGATGCATAAAATCAATCAAAGAAAACATTTCTTATAATGAATAAATTAATTAATTTGAAAAATGTTTTTTCCATTAGGATAAACAATGTATAGAATAGAATAAATAATTACAATATTAAAAACTCATTCGGCCTTAAAAAATCTCGGCATCTTTTGCACCAATGTCTATTGCTGCCTCCGCCCACTACGGCGCTCATGCCCATCATCACGCCACGAAGCTCGATCACCATTACCACCGCCAAAAGACCCTGCACGACCTTTGGTGTGAACTACGACGACCTAAGATCTAAAGTGTGTCCTCAATTTTGAGGCCGTGATGCTCAAAATTGAGGTCACGCGTCTCAAATCTAAGGCCCGGAGGGTGGAATGGACAAGCAGCGAGGTGGCAGTGATGGACAGCAAACTGGGATGACAATGTGGATGGTGGTGGAGGGCGGCGAGTTGCGGTGGTGAGTTGTGAGTCCAAATGATGTATGGGGAGCCTCCACTGCTGACTTGGCAGGCATGTCTGCCAAAAGATCACAGTGATCTCGCGCTGCACTAAATGGAGGATCCCATTGCATTGTTTTTGAAAAGTACATAATTAAACTAGTAAAAAAAAATTCAGAAACTATAACGAAAATGGAGCCAAGGTTTAGAGGTTGGCCATGCAATTAACCCATAAATTTTAGGAATAATATCAACTTTAGAGTTCATTTCCGATCCAAATCAAAATTTGTCAAACTCCAGAAGTAATTAATTTAATGTGAAGAATAGTAGAAATGAAGCATCGTGGTGATGCGACTCCACTCCAAAGCTCCGTCTTACCAATTTTTCTGTTTGTATTTTTGGGTATTAGATTGCATGCTCTTTCTATCCTCCATTCTCAGCACAAACCATGAACTTGAGTGTTTTAATCATACAAAGTACAATTTAGTGACGATACTCATAGTTGCAGTGTCCATTTGAACAGGCTTGTGCGGATTGAAGAACCTTGAAGAGTTGGATATCAGTAGTAATGAATTTTGGGATCCTCTTCCTTCATGCTTCAGCAATATGACCTCACTCCATGCGCTTGATGTTCATTTTAACAATTTGGTGAATGATGCCCTTGTGGACATTGCGAGGATAACATCTCTTAAGGCCTTAGACATCAGTGATTGTGGACTGAATGCTTCGAAGTTGTTGGAAGGTACTTCTCTGAAAATGCTTTCATTTATCACCTTCTTAAGAGAAAATAAGATAAGATTACCTTGAACATAGAAGGCATGACTGCATTATATTCGACGTACTCTGGATCTTATTTTGGCCACACATTTTCTTCAAATAACTTAGCGCGAACGACTTGCATCTAAGTAAATGATATCATATAGTTGTTTGCCTCATGCTTGAAGTGAGAAGGATTTAGTTAAATGTCTATGGAAGCCATAAATAAACCTATGTCATGCTCAATGTCTTTATTGTGGGATCATGATGTCGGTGATCCTAAAAAATTTGGTCATTTTCAATTTAATCCCTGATCTTTAAATATTGAAGTTTAGGCTCCATGATTTTACTTTTGTGAAACTTTTTTACTGGCCAATATGAAGAATAGTTCGATAACATAATAGATGCAAGGAGTAATTGCTTAGAAGATAACAATAGTCAAAATAACAATATACCAGAGGGGTTCAAATATTGTGCTGGAATCATAATAAAATTAAATGCAAAAGTTAATCGAGAGTCAAAATCGAAAAGATCCTTACAGTTTACATATTAAACCACAATGGCTGTCAAACTTCAGGGATTGCAAATGTTAATAAATTCAACTAGGCCATGAAAATTATATAAGAAAATGAAAATTCTTATCAATAAACTAAGATACATAAAATCAATCAAAGAAAGCATTTCTAATAATGGATAAATTAATTAATTTGAAAACTGTTTTTTTCCATTAGGATAAACAATGTATAGAATAGAATAAATAATTACAATATTAAAAACTCATTCGGCCTTAAAAAACCTCGGCATCTTTTGCACCAATGTCTATTGTTGCCTCCGCCCACTACGGCGCTCATGCCCATCATCACACCACGAAGCTCGGTCACCATTACCACCGCTAGAAGACCCTGCACGACCTTTGGTGTGAACTACGACGACCTAAGATCTAAAGTGTGTCCTCAGTTTTGAGGCCGTGATGCTCAGAACTAAGGCCTGGAGGGTGGAATGGACAAGCACCGAGGTGGCAGTGATGGACAGAAAACCAGGCGATAATGTGGATGGTGGTGGAGGGTGGCGGGTTGCGGTGGTGAGTTGTGAGTCCAAATGATGTTTGAGGGGCCTCCACTGCTGACTTGGCAGGCATGTCAGCCAAAAGATCACAATGATCTCGCGCTGCACTAAATGGAGGATCCCATTGCATTGTTTTTGAAAAGTACATAATTAAATTGGAAAAAAAATTCAGAAACTATAACGAAAATGGAGCAAAGGTTTAGAAGTTACCCATGCAATTAACCCACAAATTTTAGGAATAATATCAACTTTAGAGTTCATTTCCAATCCAATTCAAAATTTGTCAAACTCTGGAAGTAATTAATTTAATGTGAAGAATAGTGGAAATGAAGCATCGTGGTGATGCGACTCCACTCCAAAGCTCCATCTTACCAATTTTTTTGTTTGTATTTTTGGATATTAGATTGCACGCTCTTACTATCCTCCATTCTCAATACAAACCATGATCTTCAGTGTTTTAATCATACAAAGTACAATTTAGTGATGATACTCATAGTTGCAGTGCCCCCTTCAACAGGTTTATGCGGATTGAGAAACCTTGAAGAGTTGGAAATTAGTCGCAATGGATTTTGGGGTCCTCTTCCTTCATGCTTCAGCAATATGACCTCACTCCGTGCGCTTGATGTTAGTTATAACAATTTTAGCGGGGCCATTCCTTCGTCTCTCCTCTCCAATCTCAAGTCACTTGAATATATTGACTTTTCTGGAAATGCTTTTGAAGGCTCACTTTTGCTTGCTTCCTTGGCTAACAATTCTAACCTTGAGCATTTCCACCTCATCGACAACCATAATCGTCTGGTAGTAAATACAGAAGAGCACACCTGGTTTCCTTCATTTCAACTGAAGGTGTTTCGTTTATCAAATTGTGTGCTCAACAAAGACGCAAGTGGCGTAATTCCCAGCTTTCTGAAAAAACAATATAACTTGAGCGTTGTTCAACTCAGCCACAATGGAATGACAGGAAATTTCCCAAGTTGGCTATTGGACAACAATGTAAATCTAGAACAGTTCGTACTCAGAGGCAACAATTTGTTAGGTTCATTTTATCTGCCTTTCAATTTGAATCTTGTTAGCTTATGGATTTTCGATGTGTCTGCTAATTTTATGGAAGGAGAGCTTCCATCTCATATTGGTTCTATCCTCCCGAACATTGGCTATTTGAATCTGTCAAGCAACAATTTGAAAGGTGGAATCCCTTCCTCAATGGGCAATATGCACTCGTTGTCCACATTGGACTTGTCGAATAATGGCTTCACGGGAGAAATACCAGAGACATTGGCTAAAAATTGTTCGCAACTTTTGGTATTAAAACTGTCAAGCAACAATTTGCAAGGCCAAATGCTACCGAGGTATTCTAACTTGACAGGCTTGGAATTTTTGTATTTGGACGGCAATCGTTTTACAGGGGACATATCGCCTGGTATATTAAATATCCCCTTCTTGCAAGTTTTAGATGTAAGTAATAATTCCCTATCTGGAACACTTCCCAATTGGATCGGAGATATTCAACACTTGAGAGCACTTATACTGTCAAGTAATTTACTAGGAGGTCCTTTACCGTTGAGCTTATGCAACTTACAGTATCTCGATATTTTAGACCTTTCAAGTAACAATCTTGGGCCGAATATACCCCCTTGTGTCAATGTTACAATTATGAGTTTCTTGCATTTAGCAAATGACACTCTTGCTGGGCCTTTTCCTGAGTTTCTTTTAAGAGCTTCATCGATTGTCACGTTGGATCTGAGAGATAATGTATTGTCAGGTGAGGTCCCCAGCTGGATCGGTTCACTTCGAAACTTGAAGTTTCTTCTACTACGAGGAAACAATTTTGAAGGTTCAATCCCTCTGGATCTATGTCTGTTGAAAAATATGAGCATATTGGATCTTTCCAATAATAATCTTTCTGGAACAATTCCTTCTTGTTTGAAAGATTTGACATTTGAAAACGCTGGGGTATCTACGAAGGCATTTGCTACCTCGTTCCTTTATTTTGGTTACGGGGACTCATACTATATGGGCAGATTCGGTTTATATTATTCGTATGATGACATATATGTTTATACAGATAGATTCGAAGAAGTACACTTCATGACAAAGAGTAGGTTGGAATCTTATAAGGGCAACATTCTAAAACTCATGTCGGGAATGGATCTCTCGCAGAACAATTTGACTGGCTTTATTCCTCCAAAGGTTGGCTACTTAAGTGAACTTCGAGCATTGAACTTGTCACACAATCATTTGAAGGGAACGGTCCCGGAAACATTTTCCAAGTTAAAGAACATAGAGAGTTTGGACCTGTCCTTCAATAACTTAACCGGTCTCATCCCTCCACAACTAATAGAGCTTTACACGCTATCAGATTTTAGTGTGGCTCACAACAACTTGTCAGGCAGGATACCAGATCGAAAAAATCAATTTGGAACTTTTGGTGAAGTAAGTTATGAAGGTAACCCTCTTCTTTGTGGAGCACCATTAACCAGCTGTGATGACTCCGATCAGGAACAGGGGACACAACCACCTTTTAATCATACCAGGGAGGATGACTCCTATAGAGAAGCCTTCTTGTGGAGTTTTGCAGGATCATATGTGGTGGCGTTCCTTGCGGTAGTTCTTTTTCTCTACCTAAACTCGTACTATCAGTGCGTGCTGTTCGAGCTTGTTCATAAGCTTATCCCATCGTTTCCCAATTAGAGATTGCTCTTCTAATTATTTTGTGATTGAAAAATATGATGAAACAATGGAGAACCTTTATTTAATAGGATTGTAAGCATTTGAGTCTTTATTATGGATTGGGAACGCTTGGCTCCTAGAGAGTTCATATTGTATTCCTTGTCCTGCTAATTTGAATACTAGGAGAATTGATTTGGTTGTCAATTGAGAGAGGATAGTTTACTTCACAACCAAAATGAATCCAACATTAACAAATTCCTGTAAATGTTACCCAAGATGTGAATTATTTGATGGCTGGGACCAGCAACATCAAACCAACCGGGTTTTAGTGTCTCAAGACAAGACCCTACTAACATAAAGGATTGGGCGCCGGGAATTGCTCCTATTTGACGATTAAGGCATGCGTTGCAGTACCACTGCTCTGCAGCCTGAGCCCACCTTTATGTTCACTGTTTGATGAAGAATTATCTCAAGTGAACTAAGCATTATCCAACACTTAATGCAAAATTGCTTGGAGGATAAGTTCGACTCTACTGGCAGAAATTTAAGAGCGACTTTCTTCTTCATATATATCAGGATCAATGATTGCGCCGACGTTTCTTTTCCCATCACCTTGATGTCGTGTTCAACCTAAACCAACATAGAATATTTGTCAAGGGTCAACCGAGTCACAGCTTTTATCCAGAAGAAATCGGGGTCGAGCTAAATTAATAGCCATCTTAAAAAAACAGAGAACATAATGCTGAACTACATATATAACGGATACCGAATCAGGCAATGACGCAACGCAACAGTTCAACAGAAAAACATGAAGTGTTCTTTGCTAATGCTGTGCATGTGGAGTTAAGTGGTGTTGAGATTGGTTATTGCAAAATAAGGTGAATCTCGTCGAGTTAAAACTCACTGGCAACAACTTGCCGGGTGTTTTTAATTGGCCATCTTGGTCAAATCTTGTGAATATGTGTTGGTTCAATGCATTTGCCAATAGGATCGAAGGAGCACTTCCATCTTAGATTGATTCCATCCTTTCGAATTTGCAATACCTAAACCTGTCAAGGAATTCGATAGGAGTTAGAATCTATTCATCTGTAGGCGAGATGAAATTGCTGTTGACGTTAGATCTGTCAAATAACAGCTTCCCGAGGGAGATGCCAGAGCCACTGGCCATAGTTTGTGTCACGCTATCTATACTAAAACTGTCAGGCGAGAAGTCGCGTGGACGAATGCTACCAATAACTACTAACTTTACAAGGTTGAAATATTTGTATCTGGATGACAATCAATTCACTGGGATATATCACTTGGCATTTGGTATGGCTCAGACTCAAGGATTTTGGATTTAAGCGATAACTTCTTGTCCAGACCAATACCAAACTAGACTGGAGATATTCAACTTTTGGAATTTCTAACGTTGTTGGAAACTTATGGGTGGTCTTTTATTATTGAGCTTTTGCAAATTGAATCCTCTCGTTTTTTATTCCTTTGGACTAACAAATTTCAGTCCAAATATACCCCACCATGCCAATGTTACATTTATGAGGTTCTTGCATCTACAAAGAGTTGAGCTCCCTAGGTTTTTTCCTTAGTTTCTTCCTAGAGCTTCGTCCATCGTCTCTACAAAAAATGCATTGACAGGTGAGATGCTCAACTGGATCTGTTTCTTCTGCTGAAAGGAAACCACTTTTAAGGTTCAATTCCTATAGCTCTTTGTCAGTTGACCAAGATGAGCATACTGGATCTCTCTTATATAGGCCTTTCTAGAGAAGTTCCTTCTTGTTTTTAAGATTTTCAATTTGGAAATGGTGGGGTATCTAATAGCACATTCGATACTTTGAGTGAAAACGCTGAGTATGGCAGCGCTACTAGTACGAGGGAAAACTTGGCTTATAATTTTTCCATGATGGTAGCTGTACAGATGCTTTTTCGGATGAAGTAGGAGAAAGCGACCTTCATGTCAAAGAGTAGGCTGAAATATTAAAAGTGCAACTTTCTTGAATATCTGCCTGGAATGGATCTCTTGCACAATAATTTGATGGGCTTTATTCCTCTAAAATCGATTATTTGAACGAAATATATATCTTAAATCTGTCGCATAATCATTTGACGAGATCAATTCTAGAAAAATTCTCCAATTGAAGGAATATAGAGAGCTTGGACCTTTCTTTCAACAAATTAACTGATCTGATTCCTCCGCAAGTGAGAGAGCTATGCGCACTTTCACTTTTTAGCTTTGCTCACAACAACTTGTTAGGCAAGACAACAGACAGAAAAAATCAATTCAACTTTCTATCAAGCAATTTATGAAAGTAACCCTCTTCTCTGTGGACCACCGTTAATAAGTTATAAAAGCTCAAATGACAGTCCGTGGGTGGACTCTGTCAACTGTTGACATAGGCAAAGATGATGAGTCCTGAAAAGAAGCCTTCTCATGGAGTTTCGCCGGATCATACGTGGTGGCATTTGGTGGGGTCGTTATTTTTCTCTACTTCAACTCCTATCTCAACGTGTTAAATTTTGTTTGTAAGGATATCCGATTGTTTCCTTAGCAGAGCTCGTGCTTGCAAGCATTTGAACATCTCGAGTCTCCACTATGCATGTTGAACCCTTGGATCTGTCATGTTGTCTGTCTTTTCCTTTAAATTTGGATGTGAAGTATCACCGGATTTTCTTTTGGTTGTGAACTGAAGGAAAGATCACTGTGGTCACAGATACAATAACCATGAAGAATAATAATTCATAGCTATGGCTGTGACTTGTCATCACAGATTGACGAGTGCTTCTCTGATTTTCCTTGAGAATCTCTAAGGTACGCTAGTATATCTAACCGCCTTCTTTTTCATGACTCTTTACACTACCATTGAAGTGGCCGATTTTTCCGAAGCCAGATCGGCCGTCAACTGACTTTGCCAATACTTATCTGATTCTTCTTCGAGAGTAAGCAGCATTACTGCCAGAATGAAGCTTCGCTGAAGGTGGATATTACATCGTCTGAGAGTCTTTTTTTCCTTCCTAACAACGCCTCCTTCTCGGACTTCCAAATTCTTCATATCTCGCGCTTCTTTCAACAAACTTTTTTAATGGCAGAACTTTGATGGATGCAGAGATTGCAAATGGGCTAAAGCAAGTTCCACGTCTGCAATTTCTATTTGCATACATCTGTTGCTTCTTCCCGAAACCTATTAGGTAGACTCTTAGCAGTTCTATATGTTGTATCGGGTCATAATTTATCTTCTTAAAATTCACCACACAAAGAATTCACCATCCTCCTGCGCTAGCTTTTTTCTGTCGTACAGAGGACGATATAGCGCTTAAAAAACTTTTCTCATGGTGGTGGTGGTAGCATTCTTTAGCCAAAAAAAAAAACGTAATAGTGGTCTAACCAAAATTATAGAGCAACTACTCACAAACAGCTCAGAATAAGATGAAAGCAAAAATAGTTATCACCCGAATATGATCACATTGTAAATCAAATCATCCATGGAAAATGAGAAAAATATAACAAATACAATGAGCATTCCACTTCTTTATAAATGGAGGCATCTCCTCTGTCATGGAACGCCATCTCTCCTTGAGGCTTTTTGATTTGGGGTGTACACACACTAACAACATAATAACATGAAACTCCATCAAACCGTTTGCACTCGGTTCAATCGAAATGAATCGAGTTTTGACTAATTTTTGTACTGTTACACAGTTCTGTAGCACCCAATTCTCTCACCACTGTAAGAGCAACAGAGTAGCGCCATAATGAGCCAAGGCACCCATGATCACAAAAACGTGAAATATCTTATGGCTGTGACCAGCAAGGTCGAACGAACCCGGTTTTAGTCTCTCAAGAATCCTGCTGACATAAAACAAAGTACCTGTAATGTAAGACAGTGCCATGGCCAACTCATAAGCAAGCGTGATCGGGCGTTGGAGATTGCTCCAATTCACAATACAGGCATGAATCGCAGGAACGATGCCCAAAAACCCCATGGAGAGCATCGCCCGAAATGCTTGGAATTTCCGAGAAGAAAGAGAAGGGGCAAGCAGTGTCATGACAGTGAACATCCCCATTGCTGTTATTCCGCTAAGGTAGATCAGTTGCCAATGGGCTCGCACTGGAAAATATAGTAGATTGGGGGGCAGAATGAGGTGATGATCATGACCGTGATGCCGACGTAGTCCATCCGCAGCAGCTGGATGTTCAAGCAGTGTGAGTGGCATGAGAAAAGGTGGCAAATGCTGCTTGAGAGGAGGCAGAACATGGATCCGCCTAAGACGACAAAGAACGGCCACTGTGTTGCGGCTGGTTAGAGTGAAGCAATCTTCAAATCTTCTTCTGTTATCTGATTCAAGTTCACCAAAGAATTTGTACCCTGAAAACTATATTGTGTTAGATACATCTGTAGACTTCTAAAGAGATTATTCTTTTCGTAAGTCGAATGAAACATCGTTGGCGCGCCACTCACCAAAAGCAATTCCTTTGAGTAAGAGATATTATTTCCTGCACTAGTAGAGTTTGACCTGCACAAGTGGGTTTGCATATCAAGTCATTACATAATCTATGGTATACTAGTCGGAGTCCAATCTTTAGATCATAATATATAGAAAATGGTTCGATCCTGTCTGCCGAAGGGAGAGAATAGGCCAAAACGGTGAAAGTGAATGGGCAGAGCACTAACTGAATAACTATCAAGCCTGCTTAAGCTGATACTTTCAAATTCAATTTGACAACCAGTGTACTACTCTTCACTATAAAAGCTATTTACCATTATGATTTCGTTCAGAAAATCTTATCAGCAATCAACATTCAGAGCATTCTGCAATAGTTTATTGCAAGGTCCACCGTGTGTGAACTTTTTCTAGACACACACAGTGCTACTTGCGTGGAAAATGATTATCCATTGATGGTTTGACTGAATGCATGTTGTATTACCAAGAACAGAGAGAGATTTTCCGATGGGTTCGATCTTTTATTTCTTTCTGAAAAGAACAGAAATTTCTATTAATACTTTGATCCATCATGATAAGTAATCGCTGATGACCCTTGTTATCCATCTTAATTTTGCACTTGCTATTTGAGCAAGACTATCTTGACTGTCAGGCTACTACTCTTGAAATTTAAGCAGCAATGAAAATGACGAGCACGACCCTTGCATATTCCTATGAAACAAAATTTCTGAGTTTAAATTTTATTTTATGTGCCTGCCCTTAATGTCACAAACACGAGTTATTCCTCTGTGGCACCTGCGATTTCGATACAGCACCACAAGAAAATGAAGGTCTTAAATGGCAATTTTGGTTGCCGGTTGCCGGTTGCAAGAAGGGTTGGCTAATGAAAATGGCC